CCCTCTCATGCAAGGTCAACAACACCCTTCTATCAACGACATCACCAACGTGGCGTATTGGTGTGATCTATCCCACAACTATGATAAAGAGAAGGCGCTTGATACAACGAAGGCCATCAATGCTGTTTCCCATATCAAGTGCCCCGACAACAAACAGTACAAGGGAAACTCTGATAACAGGAGTATCAACTACTTCCTGAGTCTTATCCGCTGTGAAGCAAAACAAACAGCGCTGGGCCCTCGATTATCGTACATCTACCTATCCAATTGTCTTAGCCAGTCGGTCAAGAGGAACTTACAGATCCACTTGGAAACTACTATGGACCCCACTCTCTACTTGAACGACTATGTTCTGACACTATCACAAGCACTTGGCTACCTTCAACATAAGTACTCTCTGTCGAATTCACATGCGGAAGTCATGAGATACTTCTCTGACGTCAAGATGGACAATGGTGACATCAACATTTACGATTACCTCGACCGTATGGAATCTGCTGTTGCCATGTGTGCGAGTGTTGGCCTCCATCTACAACCCAGTCAAGTCAACCTACACTATCGTGAAGGCCTCCATCCCACTCTGAGGAAGACTGCAGACGAGAACTACACGGCCATCGATGATGTCCAACAGCTTACGCAAGCCCTACGTAGCCATATCCGCTGCAATCCTAAGCACTAGATCAGCAATACTAATTCAAACAAGGCACCTCCGGTATCAACTGCTACCCCAACTAAGGCTCCTAATCCCAAGCTGCCTAGGCTTGAAGACCCCGAGACTCTCAAACTCTGTCGAGAGCAAGGGATATGCTTGGCCTGGACAGCTCGCAGGCAGTGCCGCTATGCTGATGATTGCAAGTACAAGCATAGTGACGTAGCCCGTTTACTACAACACCAAAAAGATGACTATCACCTGCCTCCTGGTTCTGACATGGTCTTAAGGTCTACTTTCTGTGCCGACAATAACTTCTTCATCGTTGCTGACACTGGCTGTACAAGATCTATTATATCTTGGCGACTTGTGACGGCCTTACTACAGCACTATCCTGACGGCCAACTCATTCCTTGTAAGCTCTCTTTTGATACTGCAACTACAACTCGATCTATGAGTTCACTCTACCAGCTCAAGGTCAACTTTCCCATCTGCGATGGAAACCGTCAAGTCTCAACATTCACATGCTCGCCGTCTATCATCAACGACGGACTACTACTTCACTCTGATGGACTCCTCGGTATGGAGACCCTTTCGATCAACGCCGACGGTTTGCTCATCAACATCAATGGTTCATTGGTTTAAGCTTCAAAATTTCTTTGTAGCTCTCATTCATTGGATAAATATCGGTCATCAGGCATCACGTCTCCGACATCCACTACGAGCCCAATCGGTTCATAATTGTCAGAGCTATATATTTGCCCAACAACTACTCCTCCTCAAGGTCCCAACCGGTCAACATTCGACTGCACGACCTCCACTACATCTGATCTATCTACGCCTACTTCATCAACGGCATCATCAGATGACTCTATCGAAGGCCATCATATCGCCGCTCTCAAAGGCAAGGCCTCTAAACAAAACTCGGACGACGCTATCTCCTACGACGTCGATTCACTAGGCGACACACCACCTACATTCCCCAAACCACCCGAAGACTACCAACTACTCGAGACCATCTACAACAATGAATGGTGTACTATTGGTATCCTTGCTAATAAGGATGGTAACAAAGAGTATTTCGTTGACTACAGTGACCAACTACTGCGGCTAGCTCTAGACAATCAGCCGAAACCGGTCCCTTCTACTCACTATTTCCTCATCAAAGCTAGTACTGACGAGCGTCAACAAGCAGAACAGCGCATCGACGCCCTGATCAATGAAGGCAAACTACAACCTACTGGTATTGGTGATATCAACAACTACACTAC